TGAACACGGCTCTGCCAGCCTCAATGCTACCTGGCACTTTAGGTTAAAATAAAGAGGCATGAAATGAGCTGGCCCTTTAAAGTTTAGCTACTGGAATGACAGTTGAAAATACAGCATCTCAACTCCTGGTTTAGTGCTTTAAGCTGGACTTTCTTTTCTGAATATGAGCACAGACTTTGGGATATTAGTGTCACCCAGTGTTATCAGCTAGCATTCTCCTTTTGTTTCCCATAGCATCCCCTGCACCTGCCCACAGGTCCGCTGTCCACTCATTTCCATCCTGTCTCATGCCACTTGGGGCGTGTCACCTCTAGAATGCGTCCCTGGCTCCCCTGCGTGCACAATTCCAGTGAGGGTTAGTGATGGGGGACACCCGATGGAGCCTGGAAGTGAGAGGAAGGCGAGGTCCATGTTCCTTCCCTCTCCCTCCCCGCTCCAGCACTGAGCATCTGGCAATAGCTGCATCTCTCTGTTTCTTCAATGGCCACTCATCCATAGCCACAGTTCTCAGTGGGCTCCAAGGATAGTATTTGCCTTTGTTCTTTTGGCTCCCACTAAGGAAGATCCAGAGACATTATTTTCACCGAGGTGTTAAATGCATGGGTGAGGGGAACAGCGGCATGCATGGCACCTATCCTCTGCAGGCTGGAGGTCATTGTGGGAGATGATGCCATGCAATTGGCCTCCCTGCTGTCACTGAGAACAACAGGTTCTGGAAGAGTAGAGGACAGGCAGGGGCACTCGGCCGTCTAGAGACAAGGCAGGAGGGATTTCCTTGAGAGACAGGGATATCTAGTGGTTACTAATCATTGTGGGGGTCTCTGGGAATGTACTAGATGGGAAATCTACTAAGAAATTGACTTACATAAAAATTAGAGAAGCTCTAGCTCTGAGGACAGAGACCTGATGGAGTCACCATAGTGGCAATTTATGACCTGGCATTCAGTTCAGACACCTGGAGCTTCTCGACTGAGGGGATATTGGGTCCCTTTGAGGAAGAAAGAAACCTTCAATGCTGTCACAATGCTGTAAACATTCCTCCAGGCCTTCTCCCAAAGGGACCTGACATATAACTTACGATATAGTAACCCCACTTTCAGGGTATTCTTGTCTACTCTAAAGCATGCAATGCCTTCTTCCTTAGGATTCAGCCTAGTGCCAATATCTGTGTATGGCTGTGCACCTTCATGGGTCATAGCTAATTAGATGGGGAACAGTAGACCCACTTCAACCTAGGCAGTATGCAGGAATCCTCTCCAACTGTTTGGTTCTGGTCCCCACTCCAAAGTTTTCTGCATTTTATTGTGTTAGTTTCCTATTGCTGCATGCCAAATTATCACACATTTTAGAGGCTTAAAATAGCAACCATTTACTTTCTTGCCGTTTCCACAGATCAGCAGTTCAGGCATGGGTTAGCTGGGTCTTCTTTTCAAGGCCTCACAGGCTGAAATGAGGCTGAGTTTCTTTCTCGAGGTTCTGGGAAGAACTTCCTCCCTGGTTCCCTCACATCGCCAGCTGAATTCAGTTCCTTGTGACTGTAGGACTGAGATCTCTGCTTTCGTGCTGGCTGTCAGCCAGGGGCCTCTCGCTGCTCCTAGAGGACCCCCATGTTCCCACCGCAAGCTTCCTCCATCCTGCAGAGGAGAGCCACCCTGCATGGAAACCCTCCTGCACATCACATCACTCCAGGGAGACCTCAGTTCCTCCAAGGAAGTTACCTTCATTAGGTCAAGCTCATAAGATAATTTCTCAATCTTAATTTCTACTGATTTGGGATCTTGATTACATTTGCTAAATTGTTTTTGCCATGAATCATAACATAATTGCAGGAGTGGTATCTCATCACTGGCTTTGTCTACACTTAGGAAAAAGAGATTACATAACAGCAAAGATCACTGGAGTCATCTTAGGATTCTGTCTACCACAATATTATGAAGACAGTAATTTAAAAAGTATAACCGACTTCTGCTTCTGTCTATTAGAATAAATGATATCAGACTAATCCTACCTCCATAAACAGCCATAAAATTGTTTTCGGACAGCGGACAAGAGCAGCACACTTTGATTTGTTGAGGAACAGGAAACTTAAGGGAGAAGTCCCATGGTTTCCTAGTTCTTTGCTGGGGAGAATTTCTCACCAGCTGCACAGCGGGCTAAAGTCCACTTAGAGCAGGGCAGCCCCGCTGAGCTGAGAAGGCAGAGATCAGAGTTCAGGGCCACTGAAGCAACTGCAACCTGCAGGTTAGGGCATCAATGAGAAGACAGTTTGTGCAGAGCAGCAGCTCCCAAAGTGCACCTGGGGTTCCATTTGCATACTTATCAAGGACTGGGCTCTACTTGCACAAGAAAAAGACTAACAGATTTAACAGAGGGGTGGCTGCTACAAAATTATGTTTGGACCAGAGGTACTTCAGGTGGAGGAGCATTGGGGAATGCATGGACGATGGAGTTCCTGCCATCCGTGGGGGTGCGGAGGGGGGGAAGACCTCATGCACACCTCATTAGCACCCAGGTATCCAACTGAGACACTAGAATGGCTGTGCTTTAGGAATAAGTGTCACATTTCACAATAAGACCTATTCTAGACCAGTCCTAGTATAGCCTAAAACTAAACCCTAACAAAATCCACCACGGGGTGGATTGGTGATTGAGTCCTGCCAAGTTAGAGGGTCTTGGGAAATACTGTGGGCTTTCCATGAATCCATAGTAATGAAACATAAACCAAGTCCACATAAGTCCAAAGTGATCTGACAGTAATTTTACTGCCCACTAAAACAAAATTAATTCACACAGTCAATAAGACAAGTTAGCCAAGCTGACATTTAAGCAAACTACATCTAAGAACAGCTAACAAATAACTCTTCACAAACATACATATAACATTCACCAAGATAAATCACATACACTAAGCTGTAAAATAAATCTCAACAAATTTTCAAAAAGTGTTACAGATTATGTTTGTTGACCACAAAATTATATTAGAATCAATAACTGTAAGAAATCTATTAAATCAGGAAAAATTTGGAATTTAGATAATATGCTGCTAAACAACATGAATCCAAGAGAAGAGAAAACTGGAAAATACTTGAAATACAATGAAAATGAAAACACAAGATATTAAAACTTGTGAGATGCAGCTAAAGTCATATGTAGGAAAAATGTATAACTTTTTATGCGTATACTAGAGAATAAAAACATTTTTAAATCAGTGTTTTAAATTTATATTTTAAGATTCTAGAAAAAGACAAGCAAATTAAACCCAAAGTAAGTAGAACAAAATAAATCATAAAAAGCAGAAGTAAAATATAAAACAGATAAACAGCTAAAAAGTAAAGCTAAAAACTGTTTTTTAAAAAATTAATAAAACTGATAAACACCTAGCAGGACTAATCAAAAAAAAAGAGAGAAAATGCAAATTATCTTTATTATCAGGAACTAAAAAGGTGACATGCATAGATGCCAACATTAAAAGGATATTTAAAAATTATGATAAGCAACTTTAAGTCCATAAAAGCAATAATGTAGCTAAAATGGGCAAGTTTCCTGAAAAATACAATTCACCTAAACTCACAAGAGGAAATAGCAAGACTGTGCCTCTACCTATAAAAGAAATTGGATTTATGATTTAAAAATCTGACACTAAGCAAAATCTAAGCCCAGATGCTTTCAGGTTGAATTCTTTCCTTTTTTTACAGATGACATGATAAAAATATTAAATTAATTTTTTCAGAACATAGAACAGGAAACCTTTCAACGTTTTTGAGGCAAGCATAACCCTGATATGAAAACCAAAGCAAATATAACCCTGATACTAAAAGATTTTAAAAGAAAAAAAAAATCACTACTTCTTGTAAGCATAGATGCAAGAAATCCTACAAAATATTAACAAATCAAACCCAAACATATAGCAGGTATAGTAAATCTTGACCAAGTCTAGTTTATTCCAGGAATATAAAGTTTGTTCAACATTTGTAAATCAATTAATGTAATTCAGCCCATTGACAGAAGGAAAAAGTTATACAAACATTTAAATCAATGCAGAAAAAGTATTTGTCAAGATTGAAACTCATTCATGATTTTAAAAAGAAAATAAAACACGTGGCACACTAGGAATAGAAGGAACTTTCTTTAACTTGCAAAATGCATCTATGAAGAACACCCAGCTAATATCACGGTTAATAGTGAAACACTAAACGCTTTTCATCTAAGACAGAGAATAGGGGAAGAATGTCGGCTTTTGCTGCATTTATTCGCTATCATTCTGGAGGCCTTAGTCAATGCAACAATGAAAAGAAAGACAAATAAAAAGGAATAAAATGTGGAAATCAAGATGTGAAGCAATCCATATTCACGACAAACATGTATGTAGATGATCCTAAGAAATATGCTTAAAATTACTTGTATTAATCTGTGAATTTTGCAGGGTCACAAGATTCAAAGAACAAAAACTAGAAAGCCTCAACAAATGAAGAGATGTAACATGTAGAAGAATGGGAAGATTAAACAAAAAAAGAATGAGAAGATTTTAATGTTATCACGGATGTCATTTTTACTTTGCATCTCCTGGGTTTCCAGTATCGGTTGAAAAATGTATCGCCGGCTCCCGGAACGCGCATACCGCAGACGGCGCGGATCGCAGGGAGCCGGTCCGCCGCCGGAACGCCGCCGGAACGGGAACCTGGGTGTTCGTGTGGAGCTGGGGCTCGCGGGAGACTGCCGCGATGAACACGGCGCTGTCGCGGGCGAGCTCGCTGTTCGCCTTCTCACCGAGCGTGATGGCGGCGCTCACCTTCGGCTGCTTCATCACCACCGCCTTCAAAGACAGGAGCGTCCCGGTGCGGATCATGCTAAAAAATGTAGAAGATTTCACCGGACCGAGAGAAACAAGCGATCTGGGATTTATCACATTTGATGTCACTGCTGATCTAGAGAATAGATTTGATTGGAATGTTAAGCAGTTGTTTCTTTATTTATCAGCAGAATATTCAACAAAAAATAATGCTCTGAACCAAGTTGTCCTGTGGGACAAGATTGTTTTGAGAGGTGATAATCCGAAGCTGCTGCTGAAAGATATGAAAACAAAATATTTTTTCTTTGACGATGGAAATGGTCTCAAGGGAAACAGGAATGGCACTTTGACCCTGTCTTGGAATGTTGTACCAAATGCTGGCATTCTACCTCTTGTGACAGCATCAGGACACGTATCTGTCCCATTTCCAGATACATATGAAATAACGAAGAGTTATTAAATTATTCTGAATTTGA